GCGCGCGAGGTGCCCCACAAGGTCATTTGCATGTCCTGGTAATTTAATGTTGTATGCCTGTGCGAATCTTTGGATTTCAGTTGTTACATGGGGGATTTTCAGGTCGGTGTGGATAGAATCGTTGCTTATATACCATGGTGCGTCAGTGATTATTCTGAGTATTTTAGATTGTATTCTTTGTATGATTTTTGTATGGGATGCTTTTGCACAGCCCCAGAGTTGGACACCATATGTCCAAATGGGCTTTATGATTGTTTTATAGAGCAGGACCTTGTTGGATAACGATAGCTGCGAGCGCCTTCCTATAAGCCATTGCATCTGTTTTAGTTTCAAGTCTATTTGTTGTCTTTTTTTCTTGATATGCGCACCCCAGTTGAGTTTTTCGTCAAGGTGCATACCTAAATATTTTATTTCGGACTTAGTTGGGATTTGGATGTTGTTAAAACTAGTGGGAGGGCACGCAAGTCTTCTATTGGTGAAGGTTATTTGTGCTGACTTGTCGCTGTTTACTGTGACCCTCCATTTGTTGGTCCAGTCTTGAAGGAGGTTGAGGTGGTTCTGTAAATGATTTGCCGCTGCTTCAGGTGTTTCACTGGTTGAGAGGATGGCTACGTCGTCGGCAAACATGGCAATAGTTGTGTTATTCGTGGTTGGTGAGTCACATGAGTAGATCAGGTAGAGTAGAGGGCCTAACACACTTCCTTGCGGTACTCCTGCTTTAATTTGATGGTATTCCGAGGCTGAGTTATGTACTATAACTTGAAAGAATCTTTCGGTGAGATAGGATTTTAGAATTAAATAGATCTGAGCTGGGAATTGTAGTTTGATCTTGAACAGGAGGCCATCATGCCAAACCTTATCAAAGGCTTGCTGTATATCTAAGAAAGCAGCTGCAGTTAATTTTTTTGTTTCAAGACTTTCTATTATTTGATTGACAATCCGGTGGCATTGGTGTATCGTCGTGTGGGCTTCACGAAAACCGAATTGGAAGGTCGGAATTATCTGGTCGAGATTAACAGTTTCTTTAATTCTCTTCAGGAGGAGTTTTTCAAAGAGTTTGGATAGTAGAGGCAATAGGCTTATCGGCCTGAAGGAAGATGGGAGGTTGGGTGGTTTGCCAGGCTTTGCGATCATAGTGATCCTAGCATACTTCCATTGTAGTGGGAAGTACGATAATCTCAGTATACTGTTGTATATTGTGGTGAGGAGGACAACTGCTTTTCTTGGCAGATGTTGCAATACTTCACCTACGATCAAGTCATAGCCAGGGGCTTTTTTTGTGTTCGTGCGGTTGATTTGCTGGCGTACTTCTGACGGAGAGAATGGTTGAATTGGCGGCGAGAGTTGGCACGGAGCGGTTAAGAAATCCTGAACTTCGGTGTCATTGTAGTTTTGGTGTGGGTTCGGGGTAGCGAATACGGTGGCAAGGTGTTCTGCGAAGGTGTCTGCTTTTTCGTTGTCAGTTCTGGCCCATGTATCGTCAGGCTTTCTGATTGGTGGTATATTGATATATATATAATATATATATATATTGAATTTTTTTGTGGCTTTCCAGATTGAATGATCAGTAGGAGAGAGATTGGTGATATATTTTTTGAAAGTCTCATTGCGGGCTTCCGTAAGTGTGGTATGCAGTTGATGTGTAAGTCTGTTGTAGATTGTCTTGTCGTGCCTGTTCTTTGTTATTTGCCATTTTTTCCGGGCTCTTCGTTTCTCCGCGAGTAGGTTACGTATATGACGAGGAATGTTGTTGATTACAGGAGTGTGATTTTTAGTCGTAGGCATGGCTTGCCAAGCAGCGGCTTGTATTGTTGTCGTAAGGTGATGGACTGCTTCATCAAGGTCTTGGTTATCTTTAATTCTGATACTTAGGTTAATGTTTTCTTCTAATAGGTTTCTGAATTGATCCCAGTCCGTATGTTTATTGCAGAGCTTTACCGGCATTTCTTTTGTGATTATTGTTGCGCTGGCGGTAATGATGACTGGAGTGTGGTCAGAAGAGAGGTCGTAATTAGATTCTATTTTGGTATAAATGCTGGCTATTCCATTGACAACTGCGTAGTCCAATAGGTCCGGGAGTTTTTGGGGGTCACTAGGCCAATAAGTTGGTTCTCCGGTTGATAGAACGTTAAAATTGTTTCTCTGGATTGTTCTTAGTAGGTTGCGTCCTTTTGGATTGATAAGTCTAGAGCCCCAAGCTGTATTTTTTGCGTTCCAGTCCCCTCCTACTAGAAATTTAGGGCCTAGCGATCTGAGGAATTCTTCATACTCGTCAGATGAGATAGGGTGCCTCGGTGGGCTATAGATAGCTGAGATTACCAGCGAATAGGGGAAGGTTTGGACTTTTATTGTTGCACTTTGAATTTTTTCAGTAAGGTATGGTTGGAGTTCATGATGGACGAGCGTGTTCTTGATTATTACAGCTGATCCGCCGTGCGCCGTCCCGTCTGGGTGATTGGCATAATATGTGGTATAATGCGGTATTTTTACAGTAGTCCTGTTAGTTGCATGAGTTTCGGATACGAGAAGTATGTCAATTTGTTGTAGTTGTAGAAAGGTTATTACTTCCGGAATATGGTTAGTAATACCGTTGGCGTTCCACAGCGCAATGCGTAGTGAGGTAGCCATTTTACGCTATTTTGTTTATCACCGTGGAGAGCATGTTTAATATCATGCTGTTCTGGCTTATGAGTTGAGCAAACATGTTTTTAAATTCGTTGAGAAAGGATGTGAGCATTTCAGGGAGGTTGATTACTTGTTGGGTTTGAGTTGAGGGACTATCGTTCCTTTTTGTCCATGCTTGGGGAGTGTAGGTTACGCGTTGCGTTTCACTGCTGTGATGGTTATCAAAACTAGGTATGTGAACTACATATTTTTAGTATGAGCACAAAGTGAATCCAATTTACGGTCCATGTCAAAATCGGCTCTTATCTATTACACTTCCACTAGTGAGCAGGTTTTACGGAGTTTTCTTACCAAAACCACGACCGCCCTCGTTTATTTCAAAAAGCAGCGCAAACCGAAATAGATGCGAAAAAATGTATAGAAGTTTCATTTTCGCTTTCAGAGTTTGTCCGCGCTTATCGCGCATTGCGCACGCGATAGGCCACGCACGAAAAACTGCTACTGCACTTGCCTGTCTACATCTTATAAACTTTCAAATATTTAAATGATTGTTATTCAAAAACAGTTGAAGATAGTAATATGTCCTGACAAACTTTTTTGTAGGAAATTTAGTCTACAATTTCTCTTCTACATTTTTGTTGTTGTTCCTTGCGTTTTTAAAAAAATGCAGGCGATCATGATTTTGGTAAGAAAACTCCATAAGACTCCACTGTCACAAATGTGATAGACTGAAACGAAAACATTTCACATTCTTAATATCAGAAACATTTGCCCATTTTTTCTGGCATACATATTTTCCATTTCCTAAACATTTTCACATTTTGTGTCATTTTTAAAGATTTCCTAAACATTTCTAAAACTTGATAGCAATTTTCAAAACTGCCCATATATTTTCTTCAAAGAAAAAATTGTCTACAAATCTTCGAATAATTTTCTCCACATTTTAAAAATATTCTACTATCACTACTATTATCAAAACCATTTCGCAACCGTTTCCAAAATTTATTTTTATTTTATTTATTTTTGTCCTTTATTTTTGAGTGGGCGGGGTTTTAGCCAAGGTTGCTCTACCAACCCAACCCTCTATACATTTACAAATATCCATGCCTGGACCTGGGACCATTAGTCTAGCTTTACCTCAACTGCGTCACACGGACTCATCCTGAGCATATTTGAAGAATTTTCAAAATTTCCAACATTTCATGCATATTTTCTTAGTTTTTTAAAATTAACTATACATTTCTATTTTTTCCAAAAAACGTTTCCAAACTTTCCTTCATATATTTGGAAAACTTCCAACATTTCTTGCACAGTTTCTAAAACATTTCAAACACATGTAATACAATTGTCACAGTGATAGTGGTAAAAGGGGTATGACATTTAACATATCATACTACCATTGGCGTGGTGGGAATATGGGACTGATAGACCGCGGCGCATGTTATGGACCAGAAATCACCTACTGCGGTCGTGAGGGGTATGGCTTCATTCAGCGTGATTGGTAATCTTGTGTGTTCGGGAGTGATGTAACCAAACATTGTGATTGCTTATCCGCGGCCATCTCTAATTAATTCGGTAACTCATCAGGAGACTTTAAGCCCCGACCATCGGGATACAAAAAATGGTCAATTTCAGAATGACCTTAGGTATATTTTCGTAGTTAAAAGAGATACAGAAAAATCTTTTACACAGTTGTGTTATAATGTTTTTTTTTAATAATCTGCCATTTTCAAAATAAGTATACGGGGTCAGGTAAAAAATTATCGGACCTAACCTCATTTTTTTAAACGTTTAAAACCTAATTTTTTGTATGGAACGCCCTGTATGTTTAAATCTAAAAAGGTAGCTTATTAAACTCTGTTTTTAAAAATATAACACGCCAGGGATGATATTCAAAAAAGATCAAATGGTCAAAAAAAGTAAAAAAAGATTTAAACAATTTAAAAAACGAGACAAATAATTCAAAAAAATACAAGAAAAGCACCTATTGCGCATGCTTTTAAGTTTCACAAAAACTTCCATCATGTAAAACACGCTTAAAGATTTTTTAAAATACAACAAATTCCATCCCAAAGAAATGTACGTGTACGTGTGAAAGCAAGTGGAGGGCTTAATTAAATTTGGAACCTTCTTGTTCAAAGATTCTTCAACTCACGATTGGTTGAATGTACTTATTTAATGATCTTGCATTGCATGCCGCTTTATACTTGCAATGTGTTAACTAACGCGAATATATTTTAGTAACAATCTACCTAATCTTTTTCGAAACTGTTAAATCAATAACAAAATGAGCTCGGATCATTCTGCGGGACTCTGCCCATAATGGCGCCTCTGAACCGCACCTTCATCGGGCTGACAAACAATTAGTGTAAATGTCAAACTAAATTTATTGCATTGGCTGTGAATTCCATCTGACAATTAAAATTTTGTTGCAGATGTCTCCTCTAGTGGCAGCACAAGGACTGTCAAGCGGAAACAACCGCCCCGGGACAGGAACTAGCAGTATTAGCGGATATTCAGCTCTCTTCCCCTCTAATTATAACGCAGTAGGTAATCGTGGCTGGTCTGCAAGTTGCCTAAGACCCGCGCCGCCTTTGCGTCCTTGTCTCGCCCTCGGTACCGCATCAAACGGTTCGCCCATTAGATCGAATCGTAAACCGACCACCTATGCGGAAGACGCCCTTATATTAGACGTAATCGAGGCGTACTGTTCGAATGGAAAATCGAAAAACACCATTCCTTCAGGTATGTACATTTTATCTTCTCAATTTACTTCAACCGTGTCTATCTATCGTTGTGTTAATTGCCGATGTCCTAAACTATATCTGTTTCATCTTTCATGTTGGGAAAAGCAGTGGAGCTACTAACCGGTGGTAATGTACAAATGCATGATAAACTTGCACGTTCCAATTTGCACAGATCTAGTGTCGATCTAGGTCGTTCTTCATCTGCTGTTATTACCCAACCGTTGCACAGGCGTAGCTTCCGGCCTCATGTTAGAGCTTCCACTTGGTGTTGTGGTTCACTTATAATGAAACGAGTGAAACACAGCATTTAGTTTGTTTGTTGTTCTATTTATATGCTTGTAAGTAGAATTTTTTAAGAAATTTTGGGTGGTGTTATTTCTATTCTATATTTATGCATTATTGCATACTTTATTTCTTTTTCTGTAGCACTATTTGTAAGGTACTTGCTCTGTAGTATTTTTGTCAATGTTTTGATCAGTATTATTTAGTTGTTATACTTTACAACTTGTATAGTGGGGTTTATGGGTACATGGTGGTTAATGATGCTATCGCAGCATGGTTAAAAATTGAAACTTTGACTTTAGCATTTTGCAACTTAAACGTCGTTAGCCACCCTGTAAGTGAGTTAGTTTAGTAATTAAGCAGTGTTAGTGCGTGTGAAAGTATAAACAATTATAATGGCGCTCTTAGTAGAATGGGTTAATTGTAAAGTATGACACGTAACTACTTCATATTTTATATTGTCTGCACATGTTTAGTTTAGTCGCTTGCTACTTTAAGTAAGTACGAGATAGGTATTAAAAAATATGCACTTTTTATATAACAATTAATATTCATTGTGCTTTACCATTTTCTACTTTCTAACACAATCTAGTAAATTTCCTTACCTCTACTCTTCTAGTTTGCTCGTTGCATGATTAGACTGGTGTGATGTCTGCCTTTTCATTTCACTCGCCAGCTTTTTGCTTTTTTTTTTCAGCAAATACCATGGGAAGTTTTACTTTTCTGTTTATTATCACAGCGAGATGTTCAATATAACTTGCGAGGGTCAAGGTGTAGAGAGTACAAATTAAATTTTTAACATGTGCATGTAATAATTTAATGACGCTTTGCATTTCATTATACATTTCAGTTGAAGTGCAATCTTATCATGATGGATCGTCATCAGAGACGGAAAAAAATATAGCAGACTCTATAAAATCAATGAAATGCCAAATAAAAAATTTGGAAATAAATTTAGCGACGTTATCGTCTCAACTTACAGAGGAGCGTGGTGCTAGATGTGCCCTACAGACAATTATGAAATCGCATGTAGCTTTAAATTGTAAAGATTGCGACAGTATTGAGTGGCCAACAATGGAGAGTAATATATTAAATTAATATACGTAACCTATTGTTAATTAATTCTAATGATTGTATTAGCGTAAATGGTATTATTTTTTAATTTCTTTCACTATTAGATCTCTGTAAATGACCCTGTATTAAATTATGACCTATTTTTAGATGTAAATAAATACAGTGCCTATTAACTAATGTAATTGTATTTTGTAATAGATTGTTATATTTAATTCCATACGAAAAATTTTATAGAGCTGTAATAATAGTTTCGAACATTTTACATTATTTAATATAATAAATAATACTGCCAACCCCTTTCACTGCTTCAGTTACACTGCACAAAATAACATTTTTGCAACAAATGTTCAACAATCATTATATACCCAATGAGCTGGGATAGAACCGTTGTGCATGATGATGAACTAAAAGTAAGCGGGCGCAATTTGAACCGCGTAGTCAGAGGAGACTGTGAAATTTAGAAACATAGCTTAAATTCAGTGATATTATGTAAATTAGAACTTATTTCAGATTAAAATATAAAAAGTAGAAAAACCAAGATATTTGTTTATGTTTTTACTATCACATTTATTCTCAAGTTTTTATTACTTAAATGAATTATTAGAAAAATGAATTAATAAATATGATTTTAGCTTTCAAAGAGGCAGATAAAAATTGCCTTTTTTTGCATGGCCACCTCACTATTCTGTAAATTACATATAACTTATTTAAGAAGAATATAAAAACCAGAAACCAAGATGTTTCGGAAACTATCAGAGATAGATATAGGGAATTATTATCAAAAGTCGCAGGTTTTTGGAGGAGCTAAAAGATGACAGAGAAATATACAGGGTGTTCCATCTAAAAAAAGTGAGATTTTTTAATATGAAGTTTTGTAACTTTGGATCTAGAAAAAAACAGCCTGTAAGCTATTTTTTTAATGTTTTATAGTAGATGTATTTATTTTACTTTTACTTAACCCAGGATAAAAGATATAAAACTTGGAATCAAAATTTAAGTAATAATTTTGACAATGTATACTGAGGCTTGCAAATGCCCAATTTTTCTTAAAAATCGAATTATCTTTAAAACTACTAGCTTTTCCGATATTAACCATATAATAAAAAAGGCGTAGACACGTAGAATTCAAAAATGTATTCAAATACAATTTAAAAATGTATTTGAAATTTTTTGTATTCTTTTTATCAGTTCAACATTTTTTTAATGACTATATCCCTAGTGTGTTACATTTGTGAAAAGGTTTTTTAAATTAAAATATACAGGGTGTTCCATTTAAAAAAATGGGGTTTTAGGTTGTATAACTTTTTTTGTTGATCCCGTATACATAATCAATAATAAAGAAATAGTCGAAAATGGAACACCAGTACAAAAACAATTCTATATCCTGAGTAACTGAGCCCAGAATTTATCTCTATGGGAGGTAAACAGGTTGGGCAGCGCTCACGCTACCCAGCATGTTCTCAGCTTCGTCACTATCAATTAATGAGACAAAAAGCAATGCTTGATTGGTGTAAATATTGACTGTTCCATAACAAGTTACAGTTTAAAACTTTGTCCAATTACCTACTCTATTAATCGTGGATACAAAGAGAAAAGTCAGTACATATAATCTGAAAATTTATTTTCTATAACTATACAAGTTCAGCAATACAATAAATAGTAACAAAATGGAATACCCACCAGAAGTTTCTCACTTTACACTTAACATAACCAAACAACTTTTTAAAATTAAATGCGATTTGCAGTACTTAGTTAACTACAGACAGCCCTTAATTTACGTTAACGACACCCCCACATTAACACAAATAGAACATTCTCACTGAGAAGCAACATTCAACTTACGTTCTGTATTAAATATAGGAGTTTTTAGACAAAATACATTATTAAGATTATTTTGTAAATTGAAATGTTCTTCAAAATGATATTTGTCTATATTATTAGGCACATTGTAACCTAAATTTTATATTCATTAAAACATGTCGAGGGTGTTATGGAAAATGTTTTAAAACACTTTTGTACAGGGTGAACATTTTTACTTCCATCTATCAATTATTGCTTTAGACTTCTGACATGGAATAACCACACAAGTAGAAGTCCGACGTCGGATCGTACATTTTATATGGAAATTTTACCAGGATGCGCACAGCGCCCTGCGGTGGTGAACTCCGCAAGTGTTATTTCCGGTATAAAATCTAATTCAGCTCATAACTGAGATATCGTCCCTGCTTTCTCAGAACACCAAAACTTATCCCTGTTGGATTTCTATTTGTGTGTTTTTTCTATGCTGATTATTGTTTGAAAGTCTTCCATTTGGACTGCCACACATACCCTAACACTAAGTCAAGTTTTTGGAAATCTTGTTTTTTTAATACAAGCTCGGCTAATTTTACAATTTCAAGTATATTCTAGTTGAGGGCAATGGTGCCTACATTGATGTACCAGTGGTCCCTATTCAATAATAAAGGTGGACACGTTTTGTAACCAGCTTACTAGAATTATGGCCCACAAAATGTAGTTGAAGCAACAAACATTATTAAAACATGTTCACCCTTGCAAAAGTTCAGTAATGAAGACAGAGCAGAGAATAGATCATTTAAATTTGTGGTACACTCACCAGCATTAACAACTCGCAATAGAAAGAAAATGATTTTGGTGATTTATGAAATTGTGCATGCAAATACTCATTCTTGACAAAGATCTTTTAACTACACTTAGTAGAATATCACAGAAAATAAAATTAGTGCACTTCACATGAGAATTGTGAAGTATTGTTAAGTATTTCAAGAAATAATCTTTTGTTGAGCCATTGTGTGTTGCTTAATATAGCCGGCGTACATTTGTCTCGCTTGATTAAGTACTTTATTTACATTATGCTTTCTTACCATTTTATCGAAATGCATTGCCATTTCATTATAATCCATGGCCTGCGAGATAATTTGGCTCCTATGTTGCAATAGTACAGTGATACACAAAAACATAAGGAATGGATTGCCGCCGCCAAATTCATTAGGGGGAGGTAACATGCTCGATGACTTTTCAGTAACTTCTTCACATGAATTCGTAAGAGCTATTGGAGGCTCCTCTTTCGTGATAGTATTCTCACTTACTCCTGTTGGAGCGCTAGTATTAGCAGACTTGTTTGGAACTATTTGAGCCTCTCCAACTTCTTTGTCGTAGTCTATATCTAACTGCTCATCTGGCGTAGGAATGTTTTTTATGCTTATATTAGGACTGCTTTTGTGCAATGGATTTTCCCACAGAAACACATTGTCTGTTTTACTAATGCGCTTTGTTAAACTATTATATAATTTACTATCACTACGTTGAAGATTTAATTCTAGTATTGGAGAAGTTTCGGCGTTGCCAACTGCTGTGTCTGTTCCATGACCATCACACGAACTTCTAGATAGGGATGTGATATTTCTGAAATTAAAGACTCAGGTTACCATTAGCGTAAAACACAACTAAAGGAAAATTGTTCAGTAATTATGGAGAACACAACCATTATATAGGTAGCCCAGCAGATGTTGTTAAAAAGCCGTCAAAATGGTAAAACAAAAGAGCTTCTCAGCGATTTTTTTTTTCACTGAGCACAGCACACCAAATATGTTACAGTAATATGCGATACTTTTTAGCGCATTTTTCAAGGTAAAAAAACAGCTTACACCTGCGCGAGTTCCAATTCTGGGTATTCCTGTTTTGATTTGACAAAAATTTTCCTAAAATTCCTTAAATCTCTAAATAGGGGAGCAAAAAATTTCGTGCGGGCACTCGAGAAATTCCTTATACTTTAAGAATTCGATTATACAAAGAGCACACTATCTTGAACGGTTTAAGAGATATGAATTTGTGAATGATCTTTGATCTTTTATAGAAAAATTGACAAATGAGCATTTATGCTAGTGGTTTGTTTTTTTGTTGTTGTAGAAAGAGTTTGAAAAGCCAAATAGGGGCTAAGTGGGCGCTTATAGATATACATAAGAATTATTTAGAGCGACGCTTTATCCAACACTACCCCTGGTCTATACCCAAAGTACTAACGGTAGATGGAATAATTATAAATGATTCAACAAAGGTGTATATATTGGAGCCTGTAAAACGGCCTTAATTCATTTCAATTATCGCCGACCGCTGTTCCCGTGGGCATTAGTAGAGACACTGCCAATTTTCTAACCTGCATGTTACTTGCAATTTTATTTTACAATTCTTGGCTTTTTCATTAAATATTCGTAACAATGTCAGGAGACGGACACGAATTAACATATTGTGATAAAAGCATATACGAAACACACATGCTAACTCCAAAAAACTTTCCGATATTAAAAAACAATCGTCTACTAAAAGCAGCAAGAGGTGAAACACCAGATAAACTTCCAATATGGATCATGCGACAAGCGGGACGCTATTTACCGGAATTCCGTGAACTCCGCAAGCAGCATGGCTTTTTTGAAATTTGTCAAGAACCTTACCTCGCGTGCAACGTAACGCTAATGCCTATTAAACGTTTCGCTTTCGATGCTGCTATCATCTTCAGCGACATATTAGTTATACCACAGGCGCTGAAAATGATCGTCGAAATGGGTGATAAGGGACCTTACTTTCCGGAACCGTTGACACTCGACAATTTGAGCAAGTTGGATAGTAAAGATGCAATTGCTCGTTTAGATTATGTGGGGAAGGCGATTACGCTGACACGGCATAAGCTGGAAGGTACGGTTCCGCTGTTCGGTTTCTCCGGTGCACCTTGGACACTAATGGCCTTCATGATCGAGGGAGGTGGATCTAAGACACTCTCGAAGGCTAAGAGGTGGTTATACGCTCATAAAGAGGAATCGCACAGCTTACTAACTTTACTAACCAATGTGATTATAGATTATTTTGTAATGCAAGTAGAGGCCGGTGCCCAGATTTTGCAATTGTTCGACACTAGCGCCGAATATTTGAATAAATCCCTGTATAAAGTGTACGGTTTGCCGTACTTGAAAAGGATACGTCAGGAGGTAAAAGATAAGTTAAAGCAACGTAACTTGGAAGATGTGCCGGTGGTGCTCTTTGCCAAAGGCGCATCTTTCTGTTTAGAAGAACAGGCAGAATTAGGTTACGAAATATTAGGGGTAGATTGGACTGTCAACATAGAATCTATGAAAAGAGAATGTAATGTAACTTATCAAGGAAATTTGGATCCCTGTGCCTTATATGCACCTAAAGAGGATTTGGAAGGGTATGTGAAAGATATGATAGCCAAGTTTGGGGTTAATCGTTACATAGTTAATTTGGGTCATGGAATTTATCCAGATATGGAGATAGAATCTGTTAAAACATTTATCGATACTGTCCATAACATAAAGACTCATTAGAATGTAATCTCAATAAATCTGTACTGGTTTTTGAATAAATACTATGGTTTATTATTTTTTCTTTTAAGAGCTATACAGTAGGGTATCATTGTATTCAAATTTTACTATTGACCTTTAAAAGAAGTAATCATATAGTTCCTTTCAAGTAGGGTATACTAGCAACAATATTTCCTGTCTAAAAGTTAGGCCAAAAGTTACCTCAAAAGACCTAACGGGCGATCAAAAATGAGTTGCTGTCGAGTCGCCTTTGGAAGTTCAAGTTAAGCGCGGTTTAGACGCTACGATCTTGGGTTCGATAAATCGTAACGATCTGATTGTCCAATTTATCGTTCAATAAATCGAAAGAGTGCGTACTGTTTACATGTAACGATTTCTTGTTCCAATCTCATTGTCGATCACGGATTAATACAGTTTTTATTTTTTTACTTTTCAACTTGTCTTTTGGTTCTGTCCACTAATATAAATTATACTCGCATTTTATTGCTTACATTGCTTGCTTACAATAGAATCTTAATCTCGATTATGATTTATGAGTAGCCATGTGTCGCTAAATATTTTTTTTGGGTGGCCAAACTTGATCGCCACTCGCCAAATGCGCTAGAGACAGTCCAAGTAGCCCAAATGGATACAAAAATGGTTCACTTCGGCAACATTAATCACAAATCGTAGCGATAAATCGCTGATATTGTTTACACGTTCCAATTTATCGCTACGATTCGCAGCAATTGAAGCCGGCCGCCATCAACCATCCAATCCAATTCCAATTCCAATAAATCGCTACAATCCTCTGTTCACACGCAACGATAAATCGTAACGATTCGATCGTTACGATAAATTGTTACAATTTATCGTAGCGTCTAAACCGCGCCTTAAGTGCGATTTCCCATGTAAACAAAAATTCCAAAGGTGTCTCGACAGCAACTCATTTTTGATCGCATTGTATAAAAAATATGTTGCCATTTACAAAAGTCAAGATGGCGGTCGCACTCGAGAACCATGTGTCAAAAAAATTTTAACCTCAAAATATGTGAAATAATTTCAAATGGAGTCGTTCTAATTGTCATGTCTTTATCTCAAATGGTTTAAGGGTGAGAGCTTATATGTACCTTTATTTATGTTTGCCTGCCGTCTCGAATTTTGGGTTTCAATTTAAATTAACTATAAATTCTACATCATTTTGATGTAAATATTGTCCTGATTCTGATCCCGCGAGATGTAAGTCAAAATCCAATGTTCCATTTTGGAAGTTAGAAGTGTCCATTTTAGACCGAGGTGAGGTGGGGGTGATTTACTTTCTTTACAAGACTGGAACCTCCGTAAATTTTGGCGATTACGATTCCTGGCCAAAACGATTTAACCTCGGATTTAACTTTTTGAAAAGGGACCTTAAAATCCTCGGTCTTCTGATACCACGTCAATAATCTAGTCACCCCAACGACAAAAACGCGAAACTCGTACTGGTCGCTTCGAAATTCAAAACACGAATCAATAATCAAATAGGGACCAATTGGTGGCTCTGAGTCTCAAAACTAGAATACTTCTTCTTAGTTGGGTTGCCATAGTTAATAAATCGCAAGTCTAACCGCATTTAATGAGCCATTTTGGAAACGTGCGTTTATAAGGGTAAAAATGTCTGCTGAATCCGAATTCGGAAGTTGCCAAGCTGATTTTTGGCTAATTTCAAAATGGCGGCCAAATATATAAATTTGTATGCCAGACGCATTTTACATAGTTTTTCGGATTGAGGTGTTAAAAAAACATACAGGAGGCACAGAAAATTGCAAAACTTATATATTGGGTACATTATACAGACAACACGGTAACAATATAGAGATAATTCTGACGGCAAATGTATTACCTATATTTCGTTCAAAAATTTTAACGGAACTTAAATTTCTTCATCATTCTGCTCATTTTTTTTACGATTGAAGCAGTCGCCAAGACACTTGTTATTTGTAGATATTTGTGCACTTTTAGTTCATAGCATAATTTATTTAAAGCCAAGTTTTTAGGAGGACTAGTCTGACCATTCGATTTTTCAGTGTCCCTTATCGCATTTGCGAGACAATATGTATGGTACAAAATGTCCCCGGCAACAGCATCATGAGAAGATGCAACTCTACGCCCTTCTGTACCCACTGCACCCAATGTAAATTTCCATATGAGCGTCCGCCTAAAAAACTCAAGTTGTTTTTGAAAAATAAAATTTTATATTAATAATATATAAATTTTATATTTTATAAATTTACACCTTTATCTACAAAATATTCGGACTATTTTTTTTTTAAAGTTTATAGCAACTGAATACCGGCTGTTTAAAGATTAGATATTTTGCACCGATTATTGCGCTAACCTGTTTTATTGTTTTACTCTCGATCAAGACGATTTATGGAAAAAGTAAACCGACAGTTAGATAAGTTACTTCTGAACATTACCCTAAAAAATGAAATCATATTTTTTGTAAATAAAGTCTGTATCTGGCGGGCGGTAAATAAACAATTTAAGTGGAGCTGCTGCACTGTGTCAGCGGGAACCGAGGGGTAAACCACCTAGTTATTCGGTGTACAAATAGTAGTTAATGAATTAAAATTAACTTTTAATGTAGTTAATATGTTCTGTAAATGCAGTTAATTTCAAGTTAATTCAGTTAATGTGCTAATGAACAGATCTCGGGACAGATGGACAGGCACCGTAAAATTATAAACTCTCTACGTCCTAGGAGATCGTCAATAATCTGAAAATGTTGGATATTTAAAATACTTTTGCTATAGTGTTTTATAAAGAATTTAATAACCTGTCATATTATGTAATAATACACAGGGTGTTCTATATCAAAGTCACATTTTTGTTATAATCTGAAAAATGCGATGTGGTTTTGTTTTTTTAATTGCAGATTTTTTTTAAATATTGATTTATGAAAAAAATTTATTCTTCATGCTTGCTTTGAAAGTACCAAAAACGTTTCGATGGTTTGTGGATTGATAGCAATACGCTCTTTTGATTATAATGTAGAATGATAACTTTCAATAAAAAAATTAATTTTTCCAGATTTCTATAAATAAATTTTAGATTATCGAAACGTTATTGGTACTTTCAAAGCAAGCAAAAAATATCATGAAGAAAATTTTTTTTTCATAAATCAATATTTTAAAAAAAATTCCCTCTTGTATACCCCATCGCTTTACACACTGTATATATAGTTGGAAAAAACCTAAATACTTACCAACGGTTATTAAAAAGCACAAAATTTAATAACAAACAAAATTTGCAGAGGAAAATGTAAAACACTAATTTAATTAATTCACAGCTTTTTTGGGACACTCTATATATAACCACAGGATATATTTTCCTACATTTTCCGAACTAGCTATGAAGTTAATTAACCAACTTTTACGTATATATAAGTAATAAATTATGGAATAGTATATTGAAAGACAAGTGTTACAATGCGACCTATTGTAATACGACTATCTTGTGGTACGAGTGGTGACGCGAAGCGTAGCCACGAGTGTCCGCAAGATAGGAGTATTACAATAAAGCATTGTAACACGCGTTTTTCATACTATTTTTTTCTATTTCGGTGCTTTAATTTAATTAAAAAAATCATTATCAGAAACTGTAGGGAACATTAGAACTAACATGTTTTATGTTGGGAACACTTTTTATGCCGTTAAGTTTTAGGTTGGCAGCGTAGTAAGACTGACATTTTGAAGTTCAAACATGGAAGTATTGTACCTACTTGTACTAACTAGTAACTGCCAACTTAAGAGATGCAGATGAGTTACCAAAAAAAACGACTATAATCACTGTCTTTGTACAACTAACAGTTGTACAAAATCATCATTGTGACACCGAAATAGAAAAAACAATTTAATACTAAATAGTACACAATACAATAGATAGTGGCGCCATCGTGCTGTATTTGTGAACTAGTGCAAAATTCGGCTTGGCAACATCCAGAATCGGATTGAGCACATTTTTTTACATATAAAAAACCATGTGGCCAAAATGGCTCATAAAATGCCGTTAAAATTAAGAAACAGAGTCGTTTTCGATTTGGCCACTTAACTATTTCCGAGACTATTTCTATAGGATTGTTTACTGATCGCTTCGAATCGCAAAACGCGAATACTTCCAAGTCATCCAAAACCGTCTCTTAATTACCGAGTAAAATTTTGAACCCCCTAATGCCAGATTATCACTCCAAATGGTGATGTCTAAATTTTCATTGGGTAGTGTCTTTCTTACTACTACTCTGAAATGCTTTTCAAAGTCGTTAAGCAATCCCATGTCTTTCTCAAAACAGGCTTACTCAAAAGTTTCCAGGCTATCTTGATGCCTAAATCCATTAAAGATCAAAAGCCCATACTAAATAAATAAACCTCTCGCCAGGAAAGATTGCCGGTCATAGAACACTTGAGCCCGGTCTACAATCTATGTTTTTCTAAAGATGTGAGCGACTTCCGGGACAGTATCGTCTCAATGTTAAACAAAAAGGCTTTTCGTTCAACATTGGCACGATCCTATTTCGGTAATCGCTCGCACCTTAAGAAAAACATAGATTGTAAATCGACACAAGGTGTGCTGTGACCGGCAATCTTTCCTGGCGAGAGTTATAAGACGTGACGCACATCCCATTATCTATTTTAACGCCTTAGGATGATTTTGGTGCCAGCATCGTATGGGCATTTCCATTTGACAGTTATGCCATTCCATGCCGGGCACACTTCTCTCACCCAGCAATAGAACTCAAATATATTAGAATCATTGAGATACTCAAGTATAGGGTGTATTGTAAGTCGGCGTTTATCAACCTTGAAATACTTACCCTACCATGCGTATTTAATTGCGTAATGCAAGCAAAAAAAAACATCACATTTTGCCGTAAAGACATGTTCTACTTTTCCCTTTACTCAAACTGACACGATCTTTTTAATGTCAATAATTAGAAGATAATTAATAAAAATGGGTACTTACATTTTGCTACTGGCTTCACTACACGAAGAATCCGATTCCAAAAGACAATCCTGAATGTTACCGCCAAAAACTTGCCT